TGTGTGATAGCCTTTCAAATGTAACTCCTTTTCCAATTCAAAAGGATAATTGAATCGGTTAAGAAGGACAGCATATTGCCAACATGATGGAGATGTTAATATATCCCTGGAAACAGGAAAAAGAGAAAAAAAGAAGTATTAATATCATACACATCAATACAATTTTATATTACTAGTAGCATGAATGGTCCTAATTTTACACTTGCTTACCTGTGATTTTCAGAGACAGAATAATATTCCTAACTCTTCCTTTTGCCTCATGAAGTTCTAATATAGTTCAACTCCACACTGTTACAATCAGTCTTTATTTTTAAATTTGATATTTTGTTCATTATGGCTATTTTAAAACTTAGTTTTGATAGTTAAAATATGTTATTATAAATACTGAGTTCTGGGAGACCCTTAAATTCTGCACTGGAGGGATATCCCTGTTTTGTCTCATCCTCAACCTTTCTGCAGTATATCTTGTGGGCAGGGGTCGGATTCCTCTACATAACTCTAAATCTAGCTTTAACTCTAAAAAAATGATTTCTTCCTATTACTCTTTGTATAAGCAAGTGTTTTCCTTAGAAATTAAAACCAGAGACTATTAATATTGGAGACTGTTAAAAAACACTTACGGGAGGCTGTTGGTTTGGACTAAGCTCCTGCACTAAGCCCAACAGACCAAACTGAAAAGGGAGTTACTCGTGATGACATTCCACTAAGTTGTTTACCTGACCTTCCAAGAAACCAGAAGGGAGAGAGCGAGATAATAGCTAACTCCCCACACAGGCCAGTTTTCACTGGCATGATAAGGAAGTCCCCTCAGCTTTAACCTTTATAAAAAGTAACTTTAAAGGACCAATCTCCTTTTTGTTCTGTCTGCTTTCCTCAGTCTATTTATGTCTAGAAAGTCAACTTCTGTTCAGCTCATCAAAACATTTATTCTATTTTATGGAATGAGGTGCTGCCAGATTCGAGAATTGCAAATAAAAGCCAATTAAAATCTTTAAACCAAATAGGTTGTAATTTTGTCTTTTCACAAGGGAAAAGTACGATCATTACAGAGTGTTTGAGGGATTCTGTTAAAGTTTTCCTCTGATGAAGATAAAAGGTATGAAAAGCTAACTACAGTGAACTCTACAGTAGCTGAGTTAATGAGGCAAAGAGTGGCTCAGATGACACAAACCCAAGGATGAGTTAAAAATCACTTACGGATTGATGGTGCAGGCTTCCCCACCAGCAGCTTTACTTTCCTAAATCTGTATTCCATCCAACAGTTAGAGTGCTTGATAATCAGAAGTTCACATCAACTGACAGATGATACAGCAGGAAAAATTTATTTACTAGCTGACCTTTCTAGCTAAGTTATTTGGGAGCCTCATTAACCATGGTCAATTAAATAAATTCCAGCTGCTACTCACCCTGGAGCTGCCTATGTGAGGAATGACTGGATTGAAACGTAACAGCTGTGACTCGAAGTATGCCATGTGAATTTCTATCTGGAGATAATATGTGAATCTGCTTTCTACTTTCACTGCCTCACTACCGATGGTAGAAACCCGGCATATCTGTTTCAGCTATTTTGGAGGATGACAATCTTTAAGAAAGAGGTTCACATAGTCAATCATGGTTCGAGTCCCAGACCCAGCAGTATGAAAATCACACCAAGTGTATGCGCCCAAAATCCCAAGAGGATAAGGGATTGCAGCAGGGCCCTCCACCTCTGGCAGCGGGAGGGGTGTGTGTGGGGGTACAGATGTTGATTTCTCCTTTCCTTCTTTCTGTATCTGTCTCTCTCTAGCAAGTGTACAAACCCTATGGCAAAACCCTAAAAAGAAAGAAAGAGGTTCACAAACTTTAGCTTTCTGGGCCCCTGAAAAATGCATTTTCCATAAGTTTTCAGATGATATTGATGCGCCTGATACCCAGAACCACACTTTGGGAACTACTGCTTTAAAATGGACGGTAAAGGAAAAACCTGTTAATACCAATGTCGTAAATCTTACTGGCAGTCCTTTTGCTCTCCAAACTGGATGAAAATCTACCCAGAGTAGTGTGCCTGTGTAACACACTAACAGTCAGAACCACAATATACATAATTTAATTTATGCAGGGTGGAGTGTCTTGGCTTACATCATGTGCTCACCATTTAGCTCACAAAAAAGGTATGGCACTTTCAACTGGTTAAAATCAGACAAGGTAAAATGTCTGTTCATTCCCTTATTTTTCTTTAGAATATTCAAAGCTATTTTAAAATATTTATTCTTTCACATAAACTTTAGAACCAACTGGTCAGTTAAAAATAATATATAGGATCAGCCAGTGTTATTAGGGCAGCTGGATCCCACATGGCCTAACAGTGGGTTCGAGTGCTATAAGTAGATACAAATAGGTATAGATACAAATTTGACTGAACTGCGGCTCTAGTGGTACACAAGCTAGAGAGGCTGACAATGTCTGCCCTACCTTCACCTAGCATGAGTGGCCCTGACCTCCCAGAAGACCTACTGAATCTCATGAAGGGACTAACTTGGCCACACCCGGTCCACAGGACCAGCTGCAACAGGACCAACTCAGTGAAGGGACTGCTAAGGCTATACAGGCTTCCAGCCCTAGGAAATCCAGGCTCTGCATTGATGCGGGTTTTGTAGGTCCCTATGCACCCACCTGCCACCAATCTCAATTCACCTCCCCAGAACACACACCCCTTCTGGGGGCCATATGGAGTGAGCTGCTACACTGAGGCTAATGGGTAAGCAAGTAGCCCGGCAGAAAGCAGAGTACAGGAAGTACATTAGAAAGCTCAGGAAGACAGTTGCTAGGTGCCACACCCCCGGACTCCTCCCAAGATTCATGATTATTCTGAAGCTATTTCATCTATTTGCTGGCAATGAAGCCAAAAGAAGTTATCAGCAGTCCACCGAACTGGGACCTACAAGGTTGGTGAGCTGCAAATATTTTGTTAGTACATCCAACTGCTGTCACTTAAAAAAAAAAAAATCTATATTCCCTCTGACACATTTTATGTTCATATCTAAATCTATACCATGTATTTAAGAACACAACTTCGGAGACCAGAGTTGGCCTAACAGCTATGTCCCTGGACTCCCATGAAGTCGACCACGATTCGAGTCCTGGACCCAGAGGCTTAAACTCACGCTGGGCGTGTATGCATGCATGCCCAAGATCCTGAGAGGAGAATGGAGGAGAAGGGATTTGTGGCGTGGCCATCCCCCGGAGGGGTGATTTCTCACTTTCCGTCTCTCTGTCTCTCTCTTTCTGGTGAGCACATGTGCCCTATAGCAAAAACTTCTTAAAAAAAAAAAAGAAGAATGCAACTTAAAAATTGGTATTTTAAATATAAGTTATACCACCTTTAAAAACATATCCAATGGAACCTAAATGTCAATCATTTTGATACAATCATTGTCTATTGAAACATTCATAGACTTGGCCCAGTTGGTGGTGCAGTTTTGAGCAAACCAAACTGCACTGCACTAAAGTCATGTAGCCAGCTGTGGATCTGGATACCCAGGCTGGCCTTAAAACATGCTTGGTGTCTACACACAAGACCAAGATCCTGATGGAGGGCTGAGAGAGGGGGATTAAACTGTAAGGAAATTATGTTAAGGTATTTTCTCCCTCTTTCACATGCATGTGCATCTTTCTACGATGAATAAAATAAACTTTAAAAAACTGACTCCTCTTTAACAGGTGGTAATTTTACACTGTCCATTTTCTTTTATTACATTCTATTCTATATAACTTTATCTCAATATATTTTTGCTTGAAAGCCTTTATCATCCTATCACACCTCTCTGACTCATATATACACATGTATATACTAAATTAGTTTTTCATGGTCTTAACACTGTGTTAAAATGGTAATTTTTTAGGGCCAGCAGGTGGCTTAGCAGTTAAGGCACTGGATTCCCACATGGTTGACTACAGTTTGAGTCTCAAACCCGGCAGATTGAAGCTCATGTCAGGCACATGTGCATGCGTGCCCAAAATCCCAAGAAGAGAACAGAGAAGCGATTTTGGTGTTTCCATCCTTCCGCAGGGGAGGGGGGGGTGATTTCCCACTTTTTCTCTCTTTCTCCCTCTCTTTATGTCTCCAGCTAGTACATATGCCCTATAGCAAAACACTTTCTAAAAAAAAGGTAATTTTTGGTTTAGTTATCAACTAATCTTATCAGTAAAAAAAGAATCAAAACAACTTGTATATTTGACACTTATTTATTAAACATAAAAAGTAAAAATTGATGGGAAATGGATCTTTTATTTCCATATATCCATTCATAAATATTACTTCTTACTAGAATGAGTACAGATTCCATTTATGCTTTATTTAGCTTATTTCTCTCATGAGAGACACAAAGACAGGGAGCATCCCCAACAGGGTCTTGATGCCATGATCTACTCCCAGCCCAGCAAGCTATATATATATACTCTATACTTTCGTCAAAAGCAAAACTTGGAAACCATCTATTAAAGAATTCATTAGTCATTCTACTGTCTAAAGCTTTACACTAACATCTTGTAGTCTCTAGTACGTGGAGATTTTTACATCCTGGAAAAATGCAGTATAGAAGTCAGAATGATGGAAGTGTGCCTTTCTTCATAAAATTAGAGAAGGAAAATTGGAAAAAGGCAGCTTGGGAAAGGAGAACAAGTCCCTCCTTAGGTACAGAGGGACACTAAATACTTTCTAAATCTTACAAGGAAGTTGAGGATCTGGAAGTTGACAGCTGTTAACTTGCCTGTAACTGTATATTCCTTAAATCTTTCTGTATCGTATTTCACTGTTCTGTATTGTGTTTCACTGTTACTCCTACTTTCAACATGCTAAGTAAAATACTGTTTTCTTGCCAACATTCATTTATTCTTTAAATATTCACTGCCCATCAACTATATGCTGGGCACATCTATTTACTGATGATGGCATGAAATTAGCTTAAATTTAAATCTATAAGAAACAATCCAGGCCCATAGCATAGTACTTAAGGGGGCTAAATCCCATATGGCCAACTGCAGAGCAGCTGAAGAACATGCTGGGTGTGTGTGTGTGTGACTAAAATCTCAACGGGATGGAGAAGTAGAGAAGGAATGGCAATGTGA